AGGCATTTTATATCAGCAAATTCAACTGCTTTTGCCGTTGTTGTTATTATTAATTAATAAAATTGATTTATGGTTTTAAATAATAAAATATAATTTATATGCTTGCTCAGTTTCTACTAACACAAATGTTGTCTTGCTTCAACATAATATAAATGCTTCACCATAATACAAAATGCCTTGCTTCACCATAAATTAAAACGATATCCATCAACTCTGAGTTGCTATACACGCAAGCCATTTTTGACACTAACTACTAAAAAACTACTGTGAACACTATGGCAACGACGATTGTAAAATGATTTTCAGTATTCGGAGTCGCTGAGGCCACGTGGCTCTCCACACATATTACGAATGACGCTAGAGACTACAGTTGTCCAGCTATGTAATGGTTGAATGTATTACCTCAATAAATTTTTTCTTGAAAACTAAAAATTACAAAATTTTTTTTAAGATATCGACTCCGTTTCTAATGCACATCTATTCCCAAATTTTTTTGGATAAATTGTGAATCACCCTGTATATTGGTTTGTTTCAGATATTAGCCCTTTTTTTGGCTATAATTTTGAATCGCCTGAAAACCAATACTGTCAGATATTTGAAGACTACATAACAAAATTGCTGAAAGTTAATTTTTACAGTACAATAAGGATATTATTATAAAAAAAAAAATGTGTATAAAAAGTAAAAAAATCCTTTTCAACGATAAATAATTACCTAAATAATTATATGATTTCCGTTTTAAACTTTAAAATTAATTTTCTAGCAAATGAAATAAAAATGACCCATGGTTTTTGCCGTGTGGTCTTCATTTATAATTGAATGAATCATCTTTTTTGTTTTTAGATTATGATTTTATTAAAGTGCACAAATGATATGTTTAATATTTTGTATTTTTGATGTTTTAAAGACCAACATGTAAAAAAACCACTATAGAAATATCTTACTATTTCCACATTTTATTTAGGATTTCTTCTTAAGGTGGCCTTGCAAATGGAACTAATAAATAATAGAACATTTTATATAAAGAAAAACACAAAACTTTTGGAGAAAAATAACATTTTGAAATGACAGCGTCGGACATTAATATCAATTGTTTTTTTTACGTAATCAATATTTGCTCTTTTTACTTTTTTCTTTTTAAAAATATGTACTTTATAATTAGCTCATTTTAGTTTAATCTAGTCCACCTAAAGAAGCAACCTAAGTGAAACTTTTGCTATCAAAGAAGCGTTTGGTCTCATATGACAGGATTTTTTAGGGGACAAAAAATTGAATTTTGAGTTAATACCTAGGTAATAAAAGTATATATTTTCAAAAATACAAAGCTATTACGCATATCTATATCTAATTTGCTTTATCGTATTTTTGATAGGTTTCTAATATATCCAGTGGCAATTCAGTTTAATTTTTTTTTTTTTGATATTGGAATAAAAATATTCTACTTTTATATTTTAAGTTTTTGGAAATTTGTTTTTTTTATTTCTTGTAGAATCGTTTTTAATTAATATTTTCTTCAGAAAACTAGGTAATGTGGAAAAATATATGCAAAAATAACGCAATTAATAAAAGTGAAAACAAAATCCTTAATATGTATTTAGACTGTTTATTACTGATGCGTAGTTTACATTTGTTAAAGATAAAACTTGTAATTCAAGAGATGAGTGTGTGGTATCTTTGTCTTTGAAAATATTTATAAAAGTATTACGCATGGTATAAACGAACTTTAAAATCTGTTCCAATCGTATAGAACTGATTTAATTCTAAAAATAACTCATCGATGATGCTCCATATCTTTTTTATCTACTAATTTGAATAATGGGGTACATCAATATAGATAGGACTCATCTGCGTTGTATTTCATAAAATCTATATTAAAAAAAAGAAATCATACAAAAAAGGATGTCACAAATGTTTGTCTTATAAAAAATTGAGAATTTGAAACTTCAATATCAAAAAATAATTGATTCCATAAACTTCATGGGTATGTGTGAGATTAGTCATGTCGTCACAAACATTTTTGGGAAGTAAATCAGCAATTTTTACCTTCATTTCTACACTTTTAGGAGTTTTCTGTATTTCCCAAGAAAACAAACGAAAAATGGTTAAGTGTAACAGACTTAATAGTGAACGTTTCATTTTTGTCAATTTTTTTATGATGTATAACTTTTATTTGCTAAAACTTAATTTTTGAATTTTTCGGTTTTTCGGAATTTTTCGGTATTTTTTTGTAAATGGTACGCTCTGTATATTTTTCAATACTTAAAATCTGGACAAAATTTTCTTTCAAGGTTATTCATGTGTTCTTCACGTTTTTTATACTACTTACTTTTTTTATATATCGGTAGAATTATAGAAAAATAATTTTTGATACATCTTGAGACTAAATTTTAAGCAGTCTCAAAAATTGAAAAACATGTAATGTTTAATTAAAAAAATATGTAATTTCGAGTTACAACAAAAAACTGAAAGTTACAGAAAAATATATCATAGGTATGCAGGTGGATCCAGGCAAAAATAAAATTGAAAAAAAATATTTTTACGAAAAACCATTTGTCATCACAAAAAACAATTGAAAATATAAAAATCCTTTACTTACATCTTATATCAATCAAGATGATGAAATTATTTTTTTTTCAAAAATTGTTGACACCTTAACAAGACTTTGTTTATGTTCTTGATTGTTACAATAAATTCCCCCCAAAAAAATTACAAACATATTTCAATCGGTTTAAGGTGCAAAACCAGGCAAATCACATTTTTTAAAGAGATGTAAGCAGTTTGGGGGCCTTTTTAGCCTTAGCTGTACAGGGATAATCACATAAATAAATACCCAACATAGATTTGTTCAGAAAAAGTCAACAAATACAAATCTTTTCGCATATTGTTACCAACTTAATCTTAGGACTCAAAAGAGTTTTTATATACTCTGACTTCAAGAAAGATTTTGATAAGATTTATCATGACAGATTAAAAACGTTGCACATATTTGGTTGGTGCTGAATCCTTTTCCCTGATATTTGTCAGATGTACTTTTATTTATTCAATTTAACCTTTATCAGGAGTGCCCCAAGATTCTAATCTTGGACCTCTGCCATTCATAATGTTTATAAATGACCTTATTACTGATTACGAATTTATTACCTATTCCTATTTAGTTATAAAATTTGAAAATTACATTACTGATAGTCACCAATTAATAAAAAAAAAACACTTATTGTTCATGTTATACAATATTATTTAGCATTATTGCCTTTTCACTTTCATTAAAACAATTAAAGGATCATATTTTTATACTGGCTTAATAAGTCTAACAAAAAATAAGTAGATTATGATGTAACATAATCAATTACTGTTTCTTTTCTTTTTATTTCATTTTCGGCTATTTTTATTAAATATGTAATTTTTATATTTTTTTTCTTGTGATTTTCTCTTGCAATAAGATTGTTCCTAATTCTATCATCTTCATCATTCTATTTCTATCTTAATATTTTTTTCCATTCTATGTAGAAAAAACTAGTTTTGTAAAATTTTCTTGCAATTACTGTTTCTTTTCTTTTTATTTCATTTTCGGCTATTTTTATTAAATATGTAATTTTTATATTTTTTTTCTTGTGATTTTCTCTTGCAATAAGATTGTTCCTAATTCTATCATCTTCATCATTCTATCTTAATATTTTTTTCCATTCTATGTAGAAAAAACTAGTTTTGTAAAATTTTCTTGCAATGTGAAAAATATAGATTTAATAAAAAAAAGAATTTGATGTTGTATTTTGTAAACATAAACTCTACATCAATTTTTTTTAATGTTTGTATATTTGTCGTTTTTTGAATTCCTTAATTTTTTTCTGATTAGAGTGATTTATTTTTGGTAACTTGCACATTATTTTGGTTTATTTACTGATCGCGCACTTAGTTAAGATAGCCATGGAATCAGTACGTCGTATTTTCCACTGTTAAATTTACTAAATACCATTTTTTTGCTAGATGGAAGGTCAACAGATATAATTGAAGTAGAATNTCTTGGACCTCTGCCATTCATAATGTTTATAAATGACCTTATTACTGATTACGAATTTATTACCTATTCCTATTTAGTTATAAAATTTGAAAATTACATTACTGATAGTCACCAATTAATAAAAAAAAAACACTTATTGTTCATGTTATACAATATTATTTAGCATTATTGCCTTTTCACTTTCATTAAAACAATTAAAGGATCATATTTTTATACTGGCTTAATAAGTCTAACAAAAAATAAGTAGATTATGATGTATCATAATCAATTACTGTTTCTTTTCTTTTTATTTCATTTTCGGCTATTTTTATTAAATATGTAATTTTTATATTTTTTTTCTTGTGATTTTCTCTTGCAATAAGATTGTTCCTAATTCTATCATCGGCATCTTCATCATTCTATCTTAATATTTTTTTCCATTCTATGTAGAAAAGACTAGTTTTGTAAAATTTTCTTGCAATGTGAAAAATATAGATTTAATAAAAAAAAGAATTTGATGTTGTATTTTGTAAACATAAACTCTACATCAATTTTTTTTAATGTTTGTATATTTGTAGTTTTTTGAATTCCTTAATTTTTTTCTGATTAGAGTGATTTATTTTTGGTAACTTGCACATTATTTTGGTTTATTTACTGATCGCGCACTTAGTTAAGATAGCCATGGAATCAGTACGTCGTATTTTCCACTGTTAAATTTACTAAATACCATTTTTTTGCTAGATGGAAGGTCAACAGATATAATTGAAGTAGAATGTTATGTGAATATTCCCGTACATTGTGTTCGTAAACCGTCGCACCTAAAAGAATTAATCTCCGTAAGCAAACAATTATCGACGAGTCGATAAAATTATTTTAACGTTAAATGTCGTCAATGAGCCATAAGAACAACACTTACCCACTGATAAGGGCGATTGCCGAACAATCAATACCGATAATCGCGATAACGCGTTGAATTCTCACACATTTACCATCATTGTCGCAGGTACCGTCCGGAGGTTCCTCGAGCATCACGGCAGTTCCCTAGACACTGTGATATTCGCCGTCGACAAAGTAGACTTAGGCATCTACGAGGTCCTGCTGCCGCTCTACTTCCCCAGGTCGAAGTTCGAAGAGGACGCCGCCAGATACCAGCTGCCCATGGACGTGGGGGGAGCCGACGGGGAGCCCGTCGTGCCAGACAGGCAGATCCGCATCATCGACAATCCGCAACACACCCTGCACCGTGAGTATACACCGCGAATGGGTTATAATGTGCGTATACTGCATTCAAGAGTGTAATGTTTTTTTTGTCACAATCGTGGTAAAAGTTTTACAATAGCTGTTTTACGTCGCCGATGGACTATAATATGTGTATACTATATTCTAGATTATGGTAGCTATAGAATCAAGTCGCTTTTCAGTAGTAAATGGTTTTTCGTTTGCAACATATACTTGTAAAAGTACACACCTAAAAATATACACCTAAAATAAGGTGTTAAGACTATATTTGTCAAAATAACTTTTTTAATGTATCCAGTAATGGGCAAATTTTAAGTGAGGATAGAGAAAAATAAGATTTAACAGAATCGACCTTCAAAAAATTTCCAAAATTGTTTTTAAAGCTGAAAATATTTGTTTTCTAAACCTCGGTGAAACCCCTATTTCACGACGGCTATAACCGTCCGTCAGACGCGAGATGCGAATTTCGCATACGGCAACGGTACTGAAACAGCGCTGCGTTGCCACATGTATCGATTATCCGCGCATTTGAAGAAAAACTTTTATTTACAAAATTCGTTTTCAACATCCTTATAGAGTTTTACACTAATAAATAATAGTAAACACAAATAATTACTTACTAAACGTAAGTACGTGAACAAAAACACAGACACCGACAAAGCGACAAATTATTTGAACTCGCGCCATTATTCCATGGCTAGAAATTGGCCTCAATGATTTGGGATCGAGGGGGATTATCCCTCTTTATACTGCCTCATATCGTGTAGGCCTGGACAGCCTTCGTAGGTGGGCTCCATCCGTCGTCTACCCCGACCGCAAATGCGGCCGGTGTAGGCGCTTTGTGGGACCTCCTTTTGTCCTGGCTGGGCCCCGCCGGGGCGCTCTTCTTGCTTCGCCGGCTCGTCTGTGTAAACCCCGGGGGTGGTGTCATATTTATGTGAGGTATGGTTGGGTAGGACAGTGCGGCTATGCAGCCTGGGATGCGCTTTGCTAAGGTGGCCCTTAGGCTAGCGCGGGAGGGGAGGGGTAAGGAGGGTATGGGGGGTGTGTATGTGTGTGTGTGTCGTTGTCTTCGTTTCTTGATCCTGGCGGTCTCTGAAACAGAAAAGGTTAGCGGGCAGGGGGGGGGGGAACTCAACAGCTATTTGTTCTGTGAAAATAGAGTCGTAAAGTCACCTATTGAAAATTTGAAACAGCCCCATCTCTAGGCAAGTAGCGTAAGGTGCACTTCAGACATCTCGTTTTTAAACTTCTTTTGTTGTTCGGGAATTAAATAGTGATATTAGTAATAAAAATAAAAACAAAAATCGTCGATGTTCGCATAAAATAATTAGTACCTATTATTTTAAGCTGTTAGTCCCCGGGGTATTTACAGTTTTCTGTAATAATTCAGCAGTACGCATCCAGGCCACTAGATCAACTTGTGTCTCGCGATTTTCAGGTTATGTTTACGTACACTACAGTTATCAAGGCACTGTAATGTATTCAATTACACATACGTTTTTCAGTGTCCCAGCGAATACAAGATTAATTAAAATGTACGTGAAGAACATGCGATGTGAACAAATCTAAAGGGCCAGTTGTTTACGATGTTTTTGGAGAGTCGAATGCAAATTCAACGCCGCTACGGATATCGGACATCAAATTAAAGACGCGGTGACTGGTGCATTCCGATTTTTGGATTATTATTCCTTTCGTTAAATTCCGATTCACTTCAATGGATATTTTAATTAATTGTGCGTGGTGGTGTTTTATTGTTACTGTGTAGTCCTAACGGATCTGCAAAAATGTTGTTTTGATAGTATGCAACAACGGAACTAAGAGCAAATGTAAAATTCTGCAACGATCTGGATTAACATCTATCAAGTAGGTATTAATAAAAAATGTTTATTTCTGTCGTTTCTACAATAGCAAAATGTCAACGCCGCTAAATATTGCGGAACAGCTGAGTGAAATTATGTCGGTTGACGGTTCATAACCGCCGATTTACCGGGAATAAAGGGTGTTTTGCCCCATTTTTTAAACATCGAGCTAAAATTCCGAAATAATTTTTTTATTACCATTTAGGCCTTCCTGAGCGCATGGTTAAAATTTATGTACTAAGTGATAGTTAACCCTGTATTGTTTTAAATACCTAAAAATAATCGATAACAAAATATTGGTAATCTCTAGAGATCGATAATTATTAAAGTTTGGCGCCCAAAATAAATGTTTTAAACGGGTATTCACTGCCGCGCTAATTCGTGACGTCGTTCAGTGCGATCGAAAATCAAGAAACTGAATAACAGGGACAGGAAGACCTTAGAGCATCAGCATAATTAGCAACGAGAGTTTACAGAGAGCCAAATTCACTTTGTTTCGAGATTCCCCGCATGTGAGTTTCTTTAGATTAGGCTCCATCTCATCGGCATGGGAATTGTAGACTAGACAGCAGACGGCCCAAAAACTGTTGTGCTCTCAGTCGCACTAAATGGCTTTCCTGATCGTTGGACAAAATTCAAATTTTTAAATAATTTTAAACATTAATTTGTATCATTAAAGAAATTCATTTTTTTACCATTATTAGTTGTTGTCAGTTATATACTACAACTTATGCACTTTTAAAAGTAAATAAATTTTCGTTCATGTTGCATTGCATTACAAACATTTGGATTTTCTGATCATAATTTTATGTTATTTTTAATTTGCAAGTAAATATTATTTTAAGTTTGATGGAGAAGGTTTTAATTCAGCTATTTTTTAGCTATTACGCCATCATCAGGGAAAAGGACTGCAATATACAGGGTGTATCTAAATAAGACCAAAAAAATGTAAGGGGCGATTCTCAGATGAAAATTAATAGGGGTCTTTGGTATAAAATTTTTTGAAAAAACCCCTGAAAAGTTACGCCCCTCCAAAAATTTCAAAAAAAAATTTGTTTTTCTTTTTTATCTTCCACGTATATCAAACTAAAAAAACCAAACTTAGTGAACATTATCTGTCAAAAAAACTACACTCTTTAAAACACTTATCCGTTCATAGCACTTTGTGAATAAAGTTGAGATCCCCTGCACGTCAAGCAAAATTCAAGACGACTGGGAAATTAGCTGTTACGCTTCAACGTTCGAACGCTCTGTGGTCCGCTGGCTGGCGCATTCCTTGTTGCGAGTTGGGCGCCAAGTTAACAGGATTCAAGGGATAATTTGCTTATTTTTTAAAGGGTCTAGTAATTATTTTTCGATTTTCTGTTTTTATTAGGCCTTCCAAATATAAATATTAAAAAAAATATTTTCTGAACAAGATATTAGATAAAACGAAATTTTGCACGCACAATACATGAATAAAATGGTATTTAATCTGAAAAAAACTCATTAAATATAATTAAAATTATACAGGGTGTTACACAACAACGTTTAAACATTATGGAACATTTTGGAGCCCCAAGTATTTTTCACATTGGCAATTGCTCTTGAAGCTCTCGTTTTTAAGATACCGGATATTAAACTTTAGAAAAAGGTGGTCAAACACGATTTGTAGAATCATTTAAATAAAGTTTGCATTAATCTAAACGTACATATTATCTTTGCATTGCTAATATGTACCAAAACGGAATTTCAAAAATCACAAACAGAACAAAACAAAAGATATTTGGATATATATTTTTTTGAAAACATGTTTATGTAGCAAAGTGTTATTATTTGTAACTTCTATGGATTCCTGAATTTTGGTGGTTAAAATTTGGCACACCCTATATGTGAACCGGATTTTTATAAACTAAAAATGGAATTCGCTTTGCATTTTTATTTATTTTTTTACATATAACGTGGTTGTCCTAAATATTTTAGAAGTTGGCATTCTCTTTTATTTGAATAAATATACGTTGTTGCTAAATAGAGGCAATCAACTGGCATTAAGATAAGGAACACGCTAAATTCTTCTTAATTGCTGTTAACAACAGTCCGACAAAAACATGATCAATGAAAGTTTCGAATTTTCATCATGTGAGTAAAACCTCAGACAAAGTTCTGCTCAAAAGAACGCTAGGTGTGTCTGTTACAGAAATAAAGGTGCGTCCAGACTGACTCTCCACGTAGGAGCAATTTGGACGCACCTTTAAGTTCTCGTTCGAATTACCGATACCGAATCGCAAACGTTACAAATTACACGACTGTAATTACCGAAATATTTGGTTATTAACGAGGCAGGCTTCTAAGAAGCCGTGAATATCGATCCGCCTAAAAATAAACCCGCATACGAAATGTAGACCTATCGATATCTCCCGTTTGCAGCGGACGAGGAGTCCATAGACCTGTCCTCCCAGCTGGATACCTCCATCACGGTGGGGGAGCATGCCTTCAGCCAGATGCAGGGAGATCTGGACCAGCAGAGGCTGTTGGGGGAGAGGCCTTTCAATGATCCGCTCGCGGACATCATGGTGAAGGAGATCCAGCACCAGGAAAGGTGAGTGGTAGATCTAGTTCATTTCCTTTTTTGGTACATCCAAAAAAAGCAACTAAAAGTCGTCTCAGGATCTTTATTGTAGCAATGAGTCGTTTCTGTGTAGTGAAACTCTATTTAAAATGTTAAAAACAAAAGAAACAAGCGTCAGTTGTAACAAAGTTACGCCAAAGACCAATTTATAGCCGATCACGAGCCAAAAAATATTTTTGGTCTAGAAAGTTTGTGGCGAAACATAGTTTAGTTATTTGGTTTCAGTGTGCGAAAGTGGTGGTGTACAATGTGTTTATTTACTTTAAAACTAACAAAAAATCAGGAACATTTTCTTAAAGAACTGCATCACTCACCGACATAACCGTGTTTCGCGCCCGTATTCCCTTATACACATTTGTTCATCATCGTTCTTGATCAGTTAAATTCGTTTCAGTCTACCCTGATTGCCAATAACATTTTTTTCTATTTGTACGCTTATGACACGCAGTGACACGCAATGACACGCCTTAGCTGGAAACTGAGAGAATGCGGGATTTCAAAAAGTCAAATCATGCAGCCTCAGTCGTCTCTCTTTTTATACACGATAGGAGAAGATAGATATAGGCGCTTGTAATGTTAATGCTTGTAAAATTGTGGTTTGATTTATGGCCGCCGATTTAGGTAACCAACACTTCACAATTGGCACTGTCAACTAAAAATTCGTAAATCTTGTCAATATTAATTATTCGTTTACAATGAACAGTGACAAACCGACGCCTACTCTCAAGATAATGCGATCGCCGATTTAGTCCAATGAATCTGTCACGGCCTAATCTTAAATTTACAAAAAATACCACTTGGAAACAAAAAATATGGTGATATAGGAAAGAAAATTCTAAGAAATTTAGTGTTTTTTTTTCTATGGCGTATAAACGGCGAAGTTAAGACGAATAATTTCAAACATTTAATAACTGAATAATCTAAAGCTTATCAAATAATGGGAATGTTATGTCATGTCACGTGAGTATTTTCAAAGACGCCGCAGTAAAACGAATAAACAGGTGCAAAAAACTATCAAACCATCAAGGTTTTAGGTACTGAAATCTACGAAAATACTAACTTTTTTATATATAACTACATGTAAATATTCTTATAACATTTACTTGCTTAGTCCTACATATAAAATTGTTTACTTTTATTTATAAGTAAGTACGTGAAAATAATTCTTAAAATGTGGGGTTAGGATAACAGCAAACGCATGTTTTACAAACGCTTTTTTTTTAGTTATTGTTTTATTTGAGTAAATTTAAATAGTAACAATGAATAAACAGAACAGCAAGGATTTTTTTTTGTGCTTACTTTTGTTGTACACGTTTTAGTTTTCAAGATTTCAGTACCTAAAAACGCCAAAAATTTGACTATTTCTCGGCCAAGGAAAAAAATTGAACTCCAATCGAAAAAAGTTAAATGAGAAAATTGTAGCTATTAAAGAAACTATCGATTCGTAAATATATCGATTTCTATATAACTTTTCGAGATATATCGAAAAAACCGTCAAAAATTGTTTTTTTTTTTGTTTTTGCTGTATCTCTTGCAAATTAAGGTTTTGAAACTTGTTACTTGCTGTAAATGTAGCCATCAACAAGCAAAGAAAGTGCCTTTTTTAAATCAAAAAATTTGAAAAATTTTTCGAGATATCGATTTTTCGAAAAGAAAGGTGGTCTTGAAAACCGGCTCTTCTTGGTCGACGAATAATCGTAGAGAAACGAATCAGGACTCATTTTTTTCCTTAAGAGTTGTACTTTCATGATAAAAAAGAGTGATAACGATTTTATTAATTTCAAGTATCCAAAAATGACTTTGAAGACTTACAGAGATTGAAGTTGCAGACTTATTTTTTCAATAAAAAAAATATTGTAGTTCATTTTAGCCACTTCTGCATTTTTAATTGTGCGTCAAACTGAAATATTCGAGCCCGGCGCGAGCTAACTTTATCGGGCGGCGGAGTGGGGGTAACGCTACTCGGCCGCTCCGAAAACTGAATTCGCGCGTTCAAAAGCGCTCTTACTTTCAAAATTTTCATTATCTCGACTTCTGGACCACGTACAAAAATCCTTTTGTACTTAATCTGGGGTAGCTCGACGAAATAAACCAAAATATGACATTTACGAACGCCTCAAAAGAATAATTACCTTTGAAAAATGTAAATTTCCTTTAGTCTAAAATTCTCTCGCCGCTTGTTAACATTTCAATAATTATTTAATAACTATTTATGAAACAAGGTAAGTACAACGTTTTATGGTAATTTATATCTTTTTATCATAAAAGTATTACAAAATATTTATTGTGGCATAAAGATATTCGTCGATTACATTTTTTATTTTCACAGCTAATGTACATCACTCTTATGTTTCAATACTTCTTCTTTTCAATTCACTCGATTGTTATACATTTTCTTCTTCTTTCATGGTTTCGTTTCCTATATTTTCCACGCAATCGACTTCATTTTCCACATAATTCGTTTCATCAATGAGTGATTCAAACGCGTCAGAAGAATCATCGTCTAATTGGATGTTTGGAGTCTCAAAATTTTCACATTGGGATGCATCACAATGTAAACAAACACTTGTACATTTAAAAAAATGTGAAAATAAAAAGTAGACGAATAATCTAGTAACAATAGAATAAGTTTGAGTTATTTTTTGTTACCAATTATAAGTAGGTGTGTCGTTATTTGTGCCTAGAAAAAATGGGAAACGTTTCCAATTCAATAATACCTCATTTATTTAGTTTTTTTTAATTTAAAAAAATAACTAAATTGGTAGGTACATTTCTATCGAGTCCGTTCCGAAAATACCCTTACAACATATGAGTATTTATTTTTCATTTAGCTGAAAATTAATGACTAAATAATTATGGCTCTATCCCCCTAAAGTTGACGTGGGTTGCGTGTTGGAAATAGTTGTCCTCGCACAACAGAAATGAACGATATTTTCCACTGACACCACCTCGTACAGAGTGGATCTATCTATTTCTGTTAAGGTCGTTACGTCAGACGACATCGCAGTTGTCGATTTCCCCGAAAATTTATATATTCCAGTCCCTTTCGTGGCTATTATTACACTGATTTGAATACCAAAGTATTAATAATAAAAAGAAATGATTTATTTTCAAGGTCGTAATCAAACCATAGCCTGCAATTTTCTAATCTGCCCCATTGCCTTGTTTCATTTTTTCACCAGTGACATCCCATTAAAGGAACTTTGACAAATGTATTATTTTAGAAACCACGACAAATGTCAAATATCTGTTAAGGAGGTTCTATTTACGTACCTAGTAATTTTAAAGTACCTAGACAAAAAAGTTGCATTTTTATAGACGAGCTTGCTTCTGTCAGCTGTGACGAGGTCATAGAAATTCAGGCTTTGGTTGAAATTGTGAAGATGGCTTCGAATCGTCAATCAACCATTTTGATTTAGTATCACTTTTTAGATGGCGGGTGTGACGTCACCGCATGGGAAACCGATTCCGCATGCTTGCGTGTGTTGTCAGTCAGTCGGGTAGTCGGGTCTTAGTTGCCTCAATCGAGACTTAACGATGGAGTACGTTAAGGTACCAAATTTTGTTAGCAATATGGAAGATACAGAACAGAAAAAAATTACAAATATTGTATTGTTTCCCAGTGTGAGAGCACTAGTGTGAAGACGCCTAAGAAAATAATAATGTCCCCGTAGTTCTGTCGCGCGGATCTAAAACCAATAGTCTATTTAGTCTCTACTTCGATTTGTTTTTTTTAATATGTATCTTATTTGAAAAATGACTTATTTTGAAAGCAACAAAACTACCCTGCGTAATTTAGGTATGTAATAAATACGTTTGTATCCTCTATAAACACTCACTATACACTTGTGTTTTCCATTGTTGATTTTTTTGTGAATATTATACAAATACCTATAGGTACTAAGTATTTATATAAAAATACATAATAAATATTATATTATTAATATATTTATAAGATATTAGGTAGATTTTATGTAGTTTCCATGGGAATAAAAATAGTAATAAGAATTTTGTATTTGATTAGGTAAATCTTTGAAACCTGTGACAAAAATGGTTTCATCCAATTAAACGCAAAATCCTTATGAAACTCATCTGGAAGTAGCGCCAAGCCGGCTGACCGTCCCATGCGGTGACGTCATTGCATTGCCACGGCTGAGACAAATATTCGCATTTTAAAAATCATACAGTTTGAAACCCGCTCAACGGATTGAGTTGAAATTTTCAAGATCGGCTAATCTTTAGCAATACTTTGTGTATACAAAATAAGAATGTTTTTGAAAATTTACTGAATAAGCCCATTCTATCCGATTATTCTACATCCTCCGTTAGAGGTAACTAGGATCTCTTCGATAAATGAAGGAAATGGAAGGAAACCATTATTGCCAGATTGGCAATTTGTTACATATTATACGGGTTTTGGTTTATAAAACATACTTCTAAAAGTACTTTGAAATTTATAAACCAGTACATAATTATAACTAATATCTGGAATCTAATAATACTTTTTTACATTGCTTTTAATTTGCAACTAGATTTTATTTGTAAGTTCTTCTTTTAGCTATGATTTCATGGTGATGTTTTGAAAGTATAATAGACAATATTATTTGATCGAGATTCGAAATCATGTTTCAAACATTTTAGCTATTGCCTTGTTGATTTTGTCAATTTAGTGGATGAATTTGGCAACACTGAAGGGATTATTTGCCACTGTAATATTCTAAAGGATCCTAAAACTTACTACAGACGGACGCAAAGAAGTTTGTATCTGAGATAGCTCCGCCCACAAAAGCGCACTGGACACGGCAAGGGAAACGCTATCTCCATTCGTCGCGCCTACGTCTTATTCCTTCTAGCCGATTGCGTTCTCTCTCACTCTAGCGCAGCTTTGCCTGAATCAGAAACGCAAACTTATTTGGTGTCGATCTGTACATAAGGCAGTGTTGCCAGATTGGGGGTTTCCCCCCAAATTT